TGTTGTTTGTTAGAAGATTAATTGCTTTCTTAATCTCCTCAAGCGTGATGGGTTTATTAAATAATTCCATTTCATTCTTATTAATAGATTTAACTGTCAGAAAGGTGATGATTCTTTGCAAAAATATAGAGCTATAAAAATCTCTGTAAAAGTTACCACAGTTACAAGATATTACTTTGAAGTCATGTAACAATCCCATTCATATTTAGTCTATTACAATTTTTATTAGAATTATGTATTAAGTGTGTTTTTTTCTCCTTCTCATTCTTCAAGCCATTTTGCTCTAGATCTTATAAATTCCCCTTTCATCTAGTTTTAATGTGAGGTAACTACGTCCATTTCTTCCCCCTAATAGTGTATTAGGGTTCTTTTGAGATAAAAGGGTGATCTTTGTTATTACTTTATCCTCTTCAGCGCTTCTTGATTCAGTTTACCCAAAATACACTTAATCTCCTCCTATTGTGGCATATGGGATTTTATGCAACCATTCTACCAATACGTTCTCTAAAGAAGAAGAAGGTTATCATTTCCCATTTTTGTGTTTGGATCGATCCGTAGTTTTGTTAGGGTTAAATTAATTTTAAAATGTGCTACTTTGCTCTGATCCAGCTGCCTCTTTCTGTCTGTGGGTAATCACCAGAGCTGAGTTCAGCGCCGACATAACGTAGGCAGCTGAATTACTGAAGCTCATAGGTGTCATTTACACTGTGGATGTCCCCATCACTTTTTGAAATGGCTGATTTTGTCCCCATCACTTTTTGAAGCATTTCTTTAAAAAGTTCTGAAAAATAGTTTGCAGTAAGAAATGTTAACTAACAAATGAAAAAGCAATAAGAAAACATGCAGAGGAATTTAGATATAGTTTCCCTTCATGTAAAAAAAATGCAGGAATTCTCTCCAGAATGCAGAAAATTACGAGTTTAATGCTCAATATCTTCTGACTCCCCGCTCATATACTTTTTCAACATCAGATATTTGTTCTAATTAGTGCTACAAATCTTCTCATCTTATTCTCGTGGATCACCACGTGTCATGAGGAAAAAAAACATCCCCCCTCTGTTTTTTGACACAAATCGCACCCTTATGAAGACTAGATCTTCAGCAAAGAAACACATAAAATGGTCATGATTTAAAATGAAACATGGTCCGAAAATACTTCTCATTCTGGTGTGTCAGATCGTAATGTGCTTGTGGCTGCCCCCTTTGTTCAACAGTGGAATAACACCCGTCACAAAAGCTTGGTCTTCATCAGCCACTTTCCTAACTTCCCCTCGTTCCTGTTGGTTTTAAAAAGGATTTTAAGTAATTAGTTTCAAGTTGGCAGTTAAGAGTTGACAAGATGAAAGAAAGAAAGGGAACTACTTGCAGCACAGGAACCCCGATAAGTACTTGGCCGCCACCTTAACTCAGCTAGGGTGCCCCATGCTTTCCTTAACTGTCTCCCAAGCCTGGGATGTGTCTTCAGAATCAGAATCAGAATAAGAAAGCTTTATTGTCATTCAACGTGGTTCAACGAGATTTGAGTGCAACTCCCTCAGTGAAAATAAGATAAAAAGACATAAGGGTAATAAATAATCGACAGAAATTCACATAAACTTGAATTAGCAGGAGTAAAAGGATATTGCACAGTCCATGTATCAAAATAAATATTGCACAGTTAATGTAATATAATAGTAATAAACTCTAAAAACATTGCACAAGTTCCAGTGGCCATCATAGCACTCAGCCATGATACTAAGTAGTCCCAAGTTCGTCACCCTGTTTTATTGTTATAGACTAGAATAGTTATAGACTTGTTTGTTCATTTTCAAGAAAGAGGAACTTTCGGCACAATACAGAGAGCAGTAGGTCCTTTGCATGCCATCCTTTTGCCTTATGTCCTTAAAAACAAGTCTAAATATGTTCTTTTGTGTTGTGCAGAGTAAGCAGGGTGGCATGCGTGCAAGACTGCACAGAGACACAGTTCCTTTTCTTGGCTTACTGTCAGCACAATGCTGTGTCCTTTTCTGAATTATGTCTTCATTTAACACACATAGCTCACACCTAAAACCTCTGGATCACTCTGAGCCAAATTAAAGCAGTACAACTGAACACATGGACATGGACTGGCATGTTTGAAAAGGTTATAGAACATAATCGTAACACCTCAACCAAAATCTAAGAAGACGTGAAACCCATACCTTATTCACAGTTGAAAACATGCAACCTTGGTGGGTCATATTGTTTTTTGAGACATGTTTTCTAAGTAACATGAGGCAACTCACAGGGCTCTTAAGAGGCCAAATTAGCCATGCTCAAAGTGTAGATGAAATAAATCACAGCAACATATTTTAGCAGAAAGAGAAACAGTCTAATATCAAACCCAAACATACAGTGTAAGGGTTGACCAAAGATGCATCTGGCACTCAAACTGATGGCACCCATACTGCTATCCATGTTTGCTATTGTAAACTTACTTCAAACATCTGGCTCTTTAAATGTGTTTACATAGTCTTGTAACCTACCTGTATGTAATTAATCAGTGTTGCAGCCGGTGTCATGTGACGGTTGTGTGTTACAGAGCACATCAGCTACTTAGTGTTTACTGCCCTCATCATGTCTGCTGTCACCACTCATCACAGGGAAATACTGGTTTGGGTTTCAAGTGGAGTTGAACTGATTTCCAATGGCCTTGCTACCACAACTGACATGTGTATAACCACTGTATGCTCATTTATGGTTTTTTACTCAATCCTCTGAGACTTTTTGTGGAAACACCTTTTTACCTAACAAAAAGATGGTAGCAAACATATCTCTTGTAGATATATGTGATATCTAGAAGAAGAGGGGAATAATCCTGTGTTTCATAGTCTTTTAAAACAGACGGGTAAGCGGGACAGAGATAATATTTGTTCTGCTCACACATCCCATCCCAACATGTATATTTTATTGTCCATAACAGGTTACACTTAATACAAAAAACAGTCAATACAAAAGTAAAGGTGGAAAATTGAATGTCATATTATGTACTGAATAATGTAAACTGTATATTGTTACTGAGGAAACTGTGAGGTGGCAAAAGCTTGATGAAACATTAGAAGACGTGTAACATCTTTGTGCATTACGTTTTTTACTCTTTTATATTTGATCCTGTGTATTTCTTGGAAAATGTATGCTGGATGGTGATTTTGCACTGTAAAAAGATGTGATTTGATTTGATTAGATGTAGACTATGTATTCCTAACCTTGACCATAGCCAACCTTTTTTCTATACTATCCTAACTCAGCGAAGGCCCAAACACTACTTTTATATAATGGTGAGTTTAGTGAACTACAGACACAAAGTCAGAGGACACAAGGTCAAACATTTAAACATTTTTGTTCAGATCAGCAACAAATCATTTTTTGTTAAACTAATTGATCAAAACTACTACTACTGGAAATTATATTACACAAAAGTATTTTTCTTATTTAAGCCAAAAAAACAAGCTCTAAAACATAGACAATAGGGGTGCTGAGATCAATAAAAAGAGTACAGTAAAAATGCATATTGCAGAACCACAGTAAAAGATAAATGTAAACAAGAATTACATGAATGAAATGAGTGAATTTGCTTTGAAACCCCAGATCCTCTAGAAATACTATAGAAAACTTCATAAAAAATAAGTAAACAAGCATCGCTGTGACGGCCCACACATATTTTCAGTGACAACACCAGCATACGCAGATATGTTATGTACACTGGCCTTCTGTACACAGATCACCCACACACACAGTGGAATTTGAGAAATGTGAGTCACTCATTAGTAAACCTTGAAACATCTCAAATCCTCCCACAATTCATGTCAACTCCCACTCTAACAGAAAGATATTAAATAATTAAATAATGTAAATTCTATGAAAAACCCATTGCTTTATCATGTAAATGTATTAATACATGTAAAACCAAAGTGTAATGAGATCCACATTAACTTAATGAAACTGATAACAGATTGTGTGTTTGATGAGGTTGTGACCTCTGTGCTTGTGTGTGCCTCAGCTGTCCAAAAAAATTATCTCATACAAAAGATTTTTCCTGCTGCTTCACCTCTCCTGCTGCCACAGTGTTTGACTTGTCCTTTGCTGCTCCGCTGAAAACAGTCGGGGTTCTTCCTCCTGGTGGAGAGGAGCCGACATGCAGCAGAGCACCCCCCAACACAAGCATCACACATGCCCCCCAGCCCAGGTACAGCGCTGGTCCCAGCTCTCTCTTTAAAGGCGCTGCAACGTTCGGGTCATAGAAGTCCCTGATGATTGTATAGGCAGTCCAACAGATGGGTATCAAGTAGGCCAGGCCAGCCACAACGAAGAGCATGCCTGATATCCTGGCCAGACGAGGCTTGGAGGCCTGGTTGCCGTCACCCATGCAGTGAGTACACTTGGCCCCTGTCACCCCGAGTATGAGGGCAAGAAGGCAGAGGAGCAGGGAGAGAACAATGAGGCCCCGGGCGGCTTGGGCAGATGTGGGCAGGGCCAGGGTGGAGTCATAGGTCTTGCACTGGATGTGGCCTGTGGTCTGAGACAAGCAGTTCATCCACAGTCCCTCCCACAACACCTGGGCAATCACCAGCTCTCCACCTACAAAGGCGGACACACGCCAGAGAGGGGCTGCACACACCAAGGCCCCACACACCCAACCCAGCACTGCAAACACCAAGCCCAGTAGCTGAAGACCTGTTGACGCCATGACCACTGAAGACACGTTAGCTCGCTCTCAACGTCTAAACAAAAAAACAGAAAATCAGATTTCTTCTTTTCTTGAGTTACTGAGAGTTGTGTACTCAGTGAATATAAGTCAAGTCTTCCCGCAGTCATTCAGTAAGATGTCCAGTTGTTGAGATGAGCCCCCTTCTCTCTTGTTTAACACCTGCAACCTTAAGATGAGTTAAGATAAGTTTTCAGCAAATTTATTTACAAAAACACATTTCAAATGAACTCATGAAGGAATTTACAGATCTGAGAAAATGGAATGAAAGTTAAAATCATTAAAGAGTAGTACAACATATTTGTGCTTTATGAAGTGTGAAGTAAGTAAAAATAAGAGTATTAAACTTGTTCCAGCTGGACCTGGTTTCTTTAGTTCAAGAAATTCTTCTTACTTTTTAATCATCAATGAAGCAATCAGATGTCCACAGACAGCGTGTTGATGATCCTTCTTGTGCGTCTTGGTGGTGTGAGTAGTTGGTGTCTTTCTTCTGTTATGACTGGCCAGCTTGTCTCTCTGGATCTCATACACATGGGTGTAGGAGGGCAGCAGTGTGTAATACTGCATAGTAAATACACACACACACACACACACACACACACACACACACACACACACACACACACACACAGCAGTTATGTGAAAAAAGACAGCACAAGGACACTTTGTTACAAACATTGTTGAATGCTATCATGTTGTCATTTGTTGGCGTTGGGGAGAGCTGATTGGAACCTGATGCATACAGACCTGACAAGCACAGCATGAAACAAACCCACATGTTGTAATATAGTGCAAAGAAATGGCCTCTTAGACTGTAAAACATGTACTGACTACACTATTTTAGTGAGCACTTAAGTTGTGTGGACACTTGCAGGTGGGTACATTAAAAGTTGCTCTCCATGGCCACTAGATGGCATTAGAGAGACCCATTTCTGACTTTACCTTTCCCTAATTTTAGCAGCTTGAGCACAGTATGCTTGTATTGTATTTCCTTGTCAATATTTAATGACTTTTTCTCATTTATGCACTTTCTCTGTGTGCAATATGTAGGAGCGAACACTGCATTTCTTTGTGCAAACCTGTATTGTGTAACGCCAATGAAAATGAACCTTGAACCTTAATTATCAATAAACAGGACGTATCAATAGAAAAGTTAGTCAACTCATATTTTTGACTAAATGCCTGGTTTTTGTCTACAAAAGGGGATGCAAATGAGTTTGTTAAGTCTCTAACCAAACTATTTTAATAATGTTTTCAACCTCTACTTATTTCAGTTTCCAGGAATTCAGAGGTAAGGTGGAGAGAGGGAACGTAACAGAGTTTCACTTCTCTGGAAACGACTGAGGTGGAGAGAGGGAGGAATAACTAGCACACAGATTCACTGTGATCTGGAAATCTTGGTAAGAAAAACACAGACAGAGTTTGTGATTCAAAGTCAGCTTTGACCTGTGTTTCCTCGAATTTCTTTCTCTAGAACAACATGTTAACTGCTGTCTGTCCCAGGTCCCCATGTATTCCTGCTGGCGATCAGACTGAATGAACGGTTCACAAAAGAGGAGAAGAATGCCATCAAGTGGATCACTGACAACTTTGGTGCTGAAGCCTCTAAGTACACACTGGTGCTTTTCACCAGGGAGATGAGCTCAAGGAGAAGTCCATTGAGAATTATTTAGAACAAAGTTCTGAACTCAGGGAGCTCGTCAGTGACTGTGCCGCTGGGTACATTGTTTTTGACAACATATGCAGGGAAAATCGCACTCAGGTGACTGATCTGTTTGAAAAGGTAGACAGGATAGTGCAGTTAAATGGTAACCATTACACCAGCAGCATGTACGAAAAGGCCCAGAGAAAGCTGGAGCAGGTGTGGAGACAATATGAACACTGTAGGTAACGCCTTGATGTTGGCAGGAGCAGTTAATGCCCGTGTATCTGGTGCTGTATCTGTGGGGTCATTCTTTATGCTCGCAGGTGCAGGGATTTCTAAAACAAAGGACAGCAAAGTCGTGTGATGACCTTTTAAGGGTACTCGTGAAGTAATTCCATGCATTACTTTTTAATACATATTTCATGATCTCAAATTCATATTCATATTTGTCTTGTCAAGATGTTTGTGGAGGTGGGCATGGTTGGCATTCAGCTGCAGGAGGGAGAGGTGGCTCAAGAGGCACAGCAAGGGAGAGCGAATTGTGTCAGCTGTTGCTCACTGACTAATAATGCTCTCCTTCTAAATGCAGTAGCATGCTGGACCTTGGATGGCTGCCAGTCTACTGAACATAAACACACTTGGAAAAACAGCCGTGTTGCCTGTGGACTGTGTATAGACACTTTTTAATTCATTTCAATTCAGTTGAATAAATTTATTGGGCAAGACCAGCGTGAGTGCACACAGTGTGTGTGTGTGTGTGTGTGTGTGTGTGTGTGTGTGGTGTGTGTGTGTGTGGGTTTGGGGGGGGTGGGGGGGCTGAGTAAAGTGACTGTGCTGTAAACATTCTCCTGTGTTGGGGCACCCATTAGTAGTAAGAAGCACCTGCTACAATCTTATTGCTTTCCTGTGTAAATTATACATGTGGTACAAATGATATATTACATTTAAACATATTAGACACTGATGTCAGCTGGGATTGGCTCCGGCCCCCTGACACCCTGTACGCAGGATAAGCGGTTGACGATGGATGGATGAACCTATTATGACAAATCTTCTGAATATGGATGTTGTACACTCTTGTCCTGACCAGCATTGTGTGTGGAGATCGCTATTGTAGTTTCTGTATCAGATGTGTAAGAATAAAATAAAACAAGGAGACAATGCCTTCATTTCGTTTCATAATCTATTTTACATGAAAATCAAAGTTTTGAAAGCAAGACTTCCCACGAAAGTTTCCAGGGCTCCTCACTGTTGCTTATTTGAAATAAACTTAGTTAATTCATAAGAGTAAGCTGGATCTGACAGAACCACTGTGGGTCTTGTCTAAAAACAAAAAACAGATGTAGATATTTTCATCAGGGATTCGTGAAGACTATTTCAAAGCAAAAAGCAGAGTGAATGCTGGACTTACATTCACCAGATGGCCAGAAACCTATTTGAATTTTGACGTAGCTCATTGCTTGACCTCTTCACCATGTCTCTCTCAATCTGTATCTAAATACATGATTTGCAAAGGTTAAAACTGAAACTAGAATACTGCTGCGAAACAAAGAGATGGATTCAACATTGTTTTCAAACTAGACAAGCAAGAAGAGCAATATTGTTCTGGTTTTTACAAACATAACAAATCTATTTAAAGTGCCTGTCCATTGCACAACATTCACAGGTGTATTTCTGTTTATTTACTTATCACTGACAACTTTTGGCGATCATGGAGGTATAGTTGGAACATCAGAAAATGTTATCCAAATATTTGCATTTCAGCAGTAAGAAATGTTAGGGAAAAATTACCAAAGTAACTGTTTTATTGCAGTGTTAACTAGTAGTTTGAAATGGTATATTGTCTAGCTGTCGAGCTGGTGTTCACACCACCATAACTGTAAATTATAAACCACAAATTAAATAACTGTTTTTTTTTTAGCAGCACTCAACAGCTTTGTATGGGAGAAGTTTTGTAACATTAGGTCAATGTAAATGAGCACCCGTTATCATGCTACGCCCTCCTATCCCATTGTCTGTGGCAGTGGATCAGTAATATCTGTCAAATTACAGTTCTATTGTCAGTATTGACAGTGAAATCTATGAACAGGCAACATATAGAGTTGAAACAGTTTACATTTACTGGTGCCAGCCTTTCAGATGTTAGTCATATAAAACTGATTATCTTTGGACAAGATTTTTATCATCAGCTTGAGCTCTTGAAATAGTGAAGGACATTTTTTCACTTTCCAAGCCATTCCCATACTTTTTTCATCCCATCATTCTGGTACAGGTTGATTTCATCTGTCCAAAGAATGCTGTTCCTGAACTGGGCTGGCTTTTTTAGATGTTCGGCAAAGTCTAATCGGATTTCTATTCTCGAGGCTTCACCCACAGAATATACAATAATGCAGCATAACGGTGCAGGACAACACCAAAGTGGAAGACCCATTCAGTAAGTTAGAGTAACGTCACTTACTATGGTCTAACTGTTAGAAAAAAGAGGTATTCAGTCTTGCTCAACAACCATTTTCATTTGAGCTTTGCTATTTTTGCTGAATTGCTGGTGGAAATATTACTGTAACGTTGCAATGGGATTTTGTGATTGTTTTGTGATTGTTTTGTTTTTGTTGTGTGATTGTTGTGTGATTGTCTCTTGTTATGTCTGTTTTGGACGATGCAGAGTGCTCGCTCATGAGTTCATGAGCACAAGGAAACGTAGTGGCAATCTGAAGTCTCACCATTAGAGGCCGCTGAAAACTACGTATAGTCCTTCAAAACAACACTCCTTCATAATTACAAGTATGATTAATTTATCTGTTCCTTTTTACATTAAAGGTCAAGTTTCATGAACATCATGGTACTCTTTGTCATCACAATGTAAAGTGTGGTTATATCTGTCAAAAAGTTTCCTTGATGGCTCATAGTTTGATTCAAGCAAAGGAAACATACTGATCACAGTTGATCCCTGTAACGACGCACACATTCAAAATTCCTGGTCAGCAAAGGGGAAACAGAAACGCCGCCTTGATGAAAGAAGATCTCCAACTGAGTGGGGAAACTAGCTCCACAGGAACAAAGGCATCACATTCACATCATGACATCAGTAAAGTCGTCATCTCTGGACAATCCACAGACCTCAGTCAAATCTTTTATGTTGATTAGTCACAGAAACTGAGATGTTGTTTATAAGAGAGACATCCAAAGATGCTGAATTTGTTTAAATTTAAAGTAACCTTGAACCTTCAAATGCATTTGACAGTTACAGTGCATTTCATGAATTTCCTGTAAATCCAGTTACATTATTCATTGAAACATTAATTCACGCACACGCTGATGGCAGCAAGCTACCACGCAGGGTGTTCAACCATCTAAAGCAATTTGATTAATAGAAATCTGAATTATTTTTACATATATAATGTAAACTATTATTAACACTATTTAACGAATACCAATCTCAGTTACCAATTAAAAAATGTATTTCTATTTTTTCTATTGTGTATTATCATTTTGTTAACTTAATCTGCCAGATCTGCAAAATGATGCTACAGTATATAAAATGAACTTTGTCATTCTGGTTTTGTTAGCCTGTTTTGCGCTTCATGTATCTTCCTTAGACATGATCAATGACGTGTACTCATTATATTGCAGATATGGGTTATACATATCTATAAGTGCTTCACCCACATTTCTCTTTATAACTGTCTCACAGACACAGAAGGTATCAGTGATTCAGTGTTTGAACTACTTAACTATAATTAACTATAGAAAGTCTATGATTTTTTTCATTGTAGAAAGTATGTAAAGAAATGTGATTCAGTTTTGTCTCATAAAAAAGCTAAAATACACTATGATCAATATGTGGCAGACAGACTTGCCTATAGTTGACCATTCTAAGGTCTTTCCTGGTATTTGTTGAAGATGGTG